TAAGCCCCGCCTACCCACCTGGTCATTAGGACAGAGAACCGGTTTTTAAATTATTTGAATCCCACCACTGGTACATGCCCTGAATCCCACCAGATGTTTTATAAAGAGGATCCAGAACATGCACATACTGTCAGATCTTGTGGGTTGAGCAAAAGTTTTCTTGGTCATTGACTATTAGCTGTTTAGGAAAGAGCTGAGAATCTAAGAGGATCCCTGTGCTAGTTGCCAGTCCTACCTGGGGAGAGTTCAACCACACCGAGAACTACAGATGGAAAATCCCCCGGTCCAGATAGTCCTCGACTCACAACCATTTATTTAATGACTATTTGAAATTACAATATCGGTGAAAGTCATGGAGGTCACTTACGATTGGTCCTTGCACTTACAATTGTTACAGCAGTCATGTGATCAAAATTTTGGTGCTTGGCAACCAATTGTGGGTTGCTCCCGGTTCGGCCTGTATCGGGCGAACCAGTAGTAGCGGCCATGGGAGGCTCCGCCCACCCACCCAGATGCTTCTGGGCATGCCCAGAAGCATCGTGCATGCACGCCAGCGCGCACGAGTGAACCGGTAGTAAAAAAATTAGAAACCCATCACTGTTGGCAACCAACATGTATTTACAACTGTTGTCGTATCCTGGGCCATGTGATCATTATTTGTGACCTTCCCAGCTGGCTTCCGACAAGTAAAGTCAATGGGGAAGCCACTTTTGTTTAACAACTGCAATGATTCACTGAGCACTCATGGGAAAATTGTTGTAAAATTGGATGCAACTGGTTTAAGAACCACCTTGCTTAGCAATGTAAATTCTGGTTGAGGGCTACCAGCACTGTACATAGACATGTTCATCATCAGAGGTCCAGCTTGATTTCAAGGAATCCTTACTTTGTAGTTTGCACTCTAATGTTTAAACCTCTCTCACCTCTCCCCGTGGCTCTGACTTAGCTAGAAAAAAAAATGCCTAGAAAGCAAAAAAAAAAAAAAAAAAGGAGAAGAAAATAAATCTACTAAATACAAATTGATATATTTTGGGAAGTTGCTATAGGCCAAACTCAAGCTGGATATACAACCTGAGAATATGAACTGGATCTCAGCAATGTTGCATTGGAAAGATACTCTACTTTGTAAACAGCGGAATATCAATTGATTGTATAGTTTCAACAAGAAACATGCACACATACTGTGTTTTCCAAAAAATAATTTCACCTCCCCCACAAAAAATATAGCCTTGGCCTTATTATTGGGGGGGGGGGCTTATTGTTTTGGGGTTGCCAGGTGGCTGCTCTCTTGCGAGCGGGCTCCCAAAGAGCCTGGCACAGCCTCAGGGGCAAACGGCTATGTGTTACGCTGTCGCAGCAGCGCAACACAGCAGCCATGAGGTGACCACACCCATGAACAGCCACCCGGGAACCCCTCTCTCCCGCTGGGCAGAGCGCCACTCACCGACCTTGCGGTTGCCCCCCCCCCCGACTCCCGTGGCTTGGCACTTTCAGGATGCTGTTAGGTCAATGAGTGGCGCTCTGCCTGGCCAGAGGGCAGAGGGTTGTCCAAGGTGCTTATTTTCAGTGGAAGGGCTTATATTTTTGCCCACCCCAAAAATCTGGCATGGCCTTATTTTCAGGACATGTCCTATTTTCGGGGAAACACGGTACTTAATACCTCTTCTAGTCATGAGTTAAGTCACCCTTTTTCTAGGGACTCACCTTCACTCTTGCTGAGGGCTTTGTGGATGAAATCTGCAGCAGGCTGAAAGTAGGGGCTCATATCAAAGGTGGGCGAGTCGTGTGCCTCAATGCCCAGGTAGCAGATGCCAGTGCCTGCATAATAATCTGGGCCTCCCCGCCACTTGCTGTGAGAAGCATTGAGGATGTGAGTGATGTTCAGTCGGGCCAGCTGAGGTCGGTTGGCTGCTATATCTCTACATGGAGGAATGATAAAGTCGGGGGTCATTTACAAATTCTCTTGTTCCCAGAATCATTGCTTCTATTCATTCCTTCTCAAGTTTTATTTTTTAACCTGCACTTAGCTGGCCTTTTCTTAAGAATACGTGGTGGAGTTTTGCTAAGCCAATTCCTAGCAAGTAGCAGTTTTGCAGTCAGGTTCATATCCTGGGATTGCTGAGGTTCGTTTCCTTTTGGACCAGCCGACACAGAAGCCCAGAAACCACTGTACAAAAGATCATGTCTGATCTGTGAATCCTGCTGCTCTTTTAATTATCAGATTTTCAGAAAATACCTATACCTTTTAAATCCAATTGAATGTTGCCCAAATCTTGTGAGAGTCTCTCCTTTGTCCTGAAGATAGCAAATGAACCTCCTGTACACCCAACAGCTGTTATGACAATTCTCTCTTCTATCAGTGTCTTCCTCCCCCTGAATTTGCCCTGAGATAACTGCCCCAGTGACTAATACTAGAACCGGTGATGATAGAATCCTGCTTCCAAATTATGTTGCGTTATATATTTAACAAGTGATTTGTGGCAATATGATACAGGCAGTCCTTGATTTAATAACATTGGTTAAGTAAACCAAAGTTATGGCAGTGCTGACATGATATGCTCTTACACTTACAGCATCCCCAATAATCACGTGATCAAAATTCAGGTGCTTTGCAACTAGCATGTATGGTTGCAGCATCCTGCGTCATGTGATCATCATTTATAAGCTTCTTAGTCAGCGTTGAACAACAAAATCATAAGAAAAGACAGGCTCATTTAATGATTGCAACAAAAAAGGCAGTAAATCAGATGCAATCACATCTGATAGCTCATTTAATGAATGCATCATTTAGAGATGAGATTCTGGTTTCAATTGTGATAGTAAGGTGGGAGCTACCTGTAGGTTCTTTCTCTCCCTTTCCCCATCTGAATCCTTTCCCAAATCATTACTATATTGCCCCTTTGCTTCTTTCCCACCTCCTGGAAGCGGCCCGTCTCCAGTATTGGAATCAGAGGTGGGTTCCTACCAGTTCGCACCTATTCGGTAGAACCGGTTCGTCAAATCTACCGAACCGGTTAGAAGAGGTTCCACCAGTGGANTACTACTTATTGTTACTGTACTTCAACATAGAACATAAAATCATAGGGCTGGAAGGGACACTGGAGGTTTTGTAGTCCAACCCTTTAATCCCTGATCCTTCTTTTTGATAGGCTAGACATACCTCTCTCAACTGTTCATCATATGATTTAGCCTCCAGACCCTTTGTCATCTTTGTTGCTCTTCTCTCCACACTTTCTAAGGTCTCAGAATCTGTTATGCATCATGGTGACCAGAACTGCATGCCATAAGTGTAGCCCCACTAGTGCTGTATAAAGCGGCATTATTGCTACTGAGGATCTGGATACTATTCCTCTGTTCATGTAGCGCAGGACTGCATTGGCTTTTTCGGCAATTGCAGCACATTGCTGGCTCATACTTAAGTGGTGATTCACTAGAACTTTAGATCTTTTTCACTTGTTGAGCCAGGTACCATCTATTTTGTACTTATGTGTTTGGTTTTCCCTGCCTAAGTGTAGAACCTTACTGCAAATTAATACTAGAGAAATGAAAGGAAAATATCCTGGGGGTAAAAGCATTCTGGCACTTCACTAAGTTCTCAAATACATTAACATTTCCCCTTTCCAATCTTTCACAGGAAAGTTTCTGAAATATTTCAGAAGTACCTGCTAGTTTGGAAGACAGCCTTTATTGTTTTAAACTTCCAGAGCAAACTATACTTAGAGACACATTGGTGATTATTCTCTGTGTTTATTCTTGTAGGCCTGGCTGGGTCATGTTTGGCTCGATTCAGCACTATGCCTTTCCTTTACTGCAATCCAGGGGATGTCTGCTACTATGCAAGTCGTAATGATAAATCCTACTGGCTCTCAACCACAGCCTCTCTTCCAATGATGCCTGTGGTAGAAGAAGAAATCAGACCTTATATCAGTCGCTGTTCTGTCTGTGAAGCTCCTGCTCTTGCCATTGCTATTCACAGTCAAGATATTACTATTCCTCACTGTCCTGAAGGATGGCGCAGTTTATGGATTGGGTATTCTTTCCTTATGGTATGTGCTTCTTTTGCTGATTGGGGTACAAATTCAGAATGCTTTTTAAATTATCTCCTGTTTTATGTAAGGTTATTCATTTATTTATGGTGGTTGCCCAACTCACAAAATTGCAAATCTGTCCGACTAACATGGGATTAAAAGTAAGAACAAAAAGAAACCAACAACAATAGAAACAACCCCCAAGAGGTGGATATTTATGGCTCTGATAAGCAGGCCTGTAGCCATTTGTCATGCCTAAAACCACTTGACGGTTCTTCCAAGCTGACTTTATTGTTTCACCCCTATAGATGAAATGTTGCCAGACTGAGGACTCTACTGTCTGCAACTACAATATACTATTATATTAGGGAGAACCCATCTTCATCCCTCTTTCTTTCACATATAGCAGCATCTAAAAGGAGATGCCTCTTACTTCCTTTGAATACACTATCTAGGAGCTGGGAATCCACCTCCTCAGTACATTACATCAATTCATCCTCTTTCATATACAGAGGCTAGATTTACAGTTTTCTTTATCATGGTTTACAGATAGTCCTCAACTTACAACCACAATTGAACCCAAAATGTATGTTGCTAAGTGAGAAATTTGTTAAGTGAGTTTTGCCCCATTTTACAACTTTTCTTGCCACATTTGTTACGTGAATCAGTACAGTTGTTAAATTAGTAAGTTTTTAA